TTACGATGTGTTAGGTATGATTGAAGCCAATTCAAAAGTCCAGGCTCCATTCCTATTTTCTGCAATTTGAGGATTGATAATGGTATGTCGATGCGGTCAAATGCTTTACTGAAGTCGGTGTATAGCGCTTCAACGTGCTTGCCACTGTCCAACGCTTTAATATTGAAAGATACATATCCTAGAAGATTAGAGGTAGTTGAGCGACTTTTAAAAAAGCCGTGCTGTTTACTTGTAATTAAATTTTTCACCTGCTGAAAAATATTGCCGTTTACGATTGATTCAAAAAGTTTTGGAATGCAAGAAATAATAGCAATTCCACGATAATTGCGAATGTCTGATTTTGCACCTGAATTGAAAATAGGTACCAAATAAGATGATTTCCAAATTTCAGGGAATTTTCCATTTTTCCGAGACATGTTGAAAAGACGCTCAAGAGGAAATGCGAGTTCTTCAGAAAGGTTTTTCAAAAATATGGGTGCGATGCCGTCAGGTCCAGACCCTTTCGACGCGTTTAAGTTTTTTAGTGCATTGAGGACTTCATGTTGAGAAAGTTGGTTTTTTTTTCCTTTGGCTTGTTTTTTTTCCGTCGATCTTGTTTTCCGTGCTGAGCACAAATGCTACCGACGTGCCAGGAAGGCAGCTCCCACACCTGGACCCTACCTATCGACCCATCAACTCATGAACCGGGGACCAACGGCTTTACTTCCCATCCGAAGGAAGGCGTGATCAGAGATGTTATGCCTCAGAACATCCCGGCGGCGCCGACTGGGATTGAACCCAGGCCTGTTGGGGTGAGAGGTAATCACGCTTACCACTACACCACCGGCGCCGTTTAAAGAGAAAGTTGGTTGACAGAGATGTTTTTAGAAATTTCAGGAATGAATGCAAAGAAATCGCGGTCACGATCTTCTTCGGAAAATGTGGTGTATACTTCTTGGAAGAAATTTGCAAAGAAATTGCAAATTTCAGAAGAATTCTCACCTACATTTGTATCCAAATTCATTCGCGAAGGAAAATTGCTACTTTTTAATTTCGTGTTTATATAATTAAAAAAGTTCTTAGGACATGACTTGACTTCATTTTCGACTTTGCGGTTATAGTCCTCATATGCAGAGTTGATGGCTGTATTTAATTGGTTGCATACGTTGTGATAGTTTCGCAAATTGGTTTCTTTTTTTTTTTTTTTTGTATAGTTTATGAGCTTTCTGTTTTTTATTCTTCAAATTTTTCCGTTGTGGATTGAACCATGCGGGTAGTTTATTATTTTGTGTCCGTCTTCTTTTTTTTATGGTACAGTTTCTAAAATTAGGCTTTGAAGAATTGAGTGAAATTTTTCTACTTCAGTATCGACATTTCCTTCAATATTTGTTAAATTTATTGTACATAGTCTACGTTTGGCTTCTTCATTATTTGCTTTATGGTATTCCAGCACTTCCTCATATTCCCAGTCGCTGGAGGAAGAAGAATTTTGTACGAAGATTGAGTATTCAATTGCTGTGTGAAACACTTCATTTTTCCATAATGCTGTAGTCTTCAGTACAATTTGTTAATAAAAGGTTTTGGTTATGAGTTTTGTTGATTTTTTACATGGTTTATTTGATTAAGACCAAAATAAGATATTTTGTCGAATAATAATTGTAATGTTTCGTCTTCACCTACGACTGGGAGTAAAAATTATTCATTTTCAATGTCTGTAATAAAGTCTGCGTTTCGTTGATTGAAGTCGCCATAAATATGCAATTTTACTTCTGGTTCCATATTTGACATTAGAGTTTCAATAATTTGAAAAAAAAAGTTCAAAAGACTGCTTGTGGGCATGTTCAGGTGGAAAATACACCGACGAAAAAATGTGTATATCACCGGCAATAAGTGCTTTGACCCAGACATTTTCGAATTCCTTGTGCTTATTTGTTATGATTTCTTCAGTAAAGTCAGCATTGATGGCAATGAGCATTCCACCACCAGACTTTTTATTACAGAGTTGAAAATTCCTGTCGTGCCGGAATACATTAATATTGTTTCCAAAAAAATTCTTCGCTTCTGACGCTTTCGTCCCAGCTTGTTTCAGTTCCAAGAATTATTTGAAAAGAAGAAGATAGAATGTTCTGGTGGATTTCTTTCATTTTAGCTGGGCTTTTCATGCGATTGAAATTTTGGCAATACACAAAAATTTCAGTCGCATTCTGTTGAGGAAGTGAAAAGATTTTTGGAGGGTCAGTATTACTTACATTAGCAGTGGCTACCTCATGTAGAGTGTCGTCATTCGATAATAATAATTCCCTTGCATGGGAATAGTCGTCGTTACTTCCTCTAGTAGAGTGCGTCAGTGCCGTTGAAAATTTGGAGGACTGTAAAATTTGCGTGCGGCCTCCCTAGTTTGCTGCAGTCGTTGTGTGCGTTCACTAAGTAGGAACGCGCGGTGTGAATTCAGGTCTGCCAAAACGTCGGTGCGTGGAATTCCAAGTTCTTCGTGAACGTCTAGGAAAATTTCGCGTAAAAGGGCATTTTCCCTTGGTAGTCCTTCTACTGCCAGCATTAAAGTTGCACTAGTTTTAGTGATTCCGCGAATGCATACTGAAGGTGGCTGGTCGTGCAAGTATGAAAGATATGTCCGCACAATGTCCATAATTTTGGTGTCCCGCAGCCGTGCCTTCAAAAAGCGTCGGTCGCCAATTGCAGACTGTTGTTGTTGTTGTTGTGTTTCCTGGTGATGTTCCTTTCGTTGCTTTCGCCTACATCTGGCTTTTTCCTTTTCTTTTTCCTGAAGACGACGGGAACGCTGTTTGGTGTCAAATGCAGTCCAGTCGCGTTTCCATATTTTTTTATTTCCTAGCATTCGCCAGCTGGGGGCTGGTTCGTCACCGACGTTCTGCAGTTCAATTTCTATGTTGTTACATGCAATTGGATTGCAAGTATGTAATGCTGCAGAAAAGGTTTTTGCCATTTCTTCCATATGTGCTTTTACATCGGAAGCTAGAATAGCATTTGAGTCTGCTAAGTCGTTCTTAATTTCCATAATTAATTGCAGAATTAGGTCAGGTTTAAAATCCGCACATTCTCAAATTGCTCTAACTTTTGATCCATTGGGTAGAATCAATTGACATTTTGCGTACATATAGTTTAATGTGTATTGTTTACACTCTGTGAGTTGATTTCTTCAGGAGCACAGACGTTTTCAAAATGGCGACGGAAGAACAGTGCGTGCGCGAATACCTTGAGGAGGATCTGTCGCATCGTATCATCGGAAAAAGTTGGGAATCGCGAATTCCACGGTGTCTGGTATCATAAAACGGTTCGAAAAACGACTGACTGTTTATCGGAAGCGATAATCCGGAAAAAAGCCGTCAGGTCAACGAGAACGATCACAAACGCGTGGTTGGGGCCTTTAAGCGGAAATCGAACGCCCCAGTTCGAGATGTGGCTAAAAAGTTACATGTGAGCAAGACTTTCGTGCAGAATACCAAAACTCGAGCTGGACTACGTAGGTTTAAGCACAGACAAACAGACGTAACTCTTCATTGTGTATCTTCGTTCATGCATTTAACGGTTGATTTGATTATTATCAGTTCCGCGAACTACTCGTCGCAGCGCTGGCATCGGATCACTTTGACGTTTATATATATTCTATAGAACTTTTATGCAATATTGTTTACGAGTTAGCGAGCAAGCTTGTTTTCCGCGAGAAGCCAGAGAGATGTCGTTACTGAGGTTATATGTTTTGAGATACTATGTTTTCAAGAACAAGTTTTTCAAAGAGTTACGTCTGTTTGTCTGTGGTTTAAGGTTCAGAAGTCCCCAAACCATGACGAGAAACAGAATACGGTCGCAAAAAGCCGTGCCGGGAAGTTGTACGACCAGAAGTTAACGAAACCACACTGCTGCGTAATGGATGACGAGACATATGTTAAGGCGGACTTCAACCAGATTCCAGAAAACCTGTATGTGACTGCCAAGGATAAGTGTGATGTTCCCGAGAACCCCCGGAAACAGAACATGTCGAAGTTCACCAAAAATTTCTTAATTTGGCAAGCGATTTGTACTTGCGGAAAGCGGAGTTTTGGCTGCAAAAAGAAATCATTATTATTTCAACAATCCAGTATCTTTGTTTCTAAAAAAAAAAATCTTTTCGAATTAACAAGAGCTTTTATAGTGTTGACGTAAGCTGTCAAATTTGGCAGCTGGGTCAACAACAAAATATTTTTGTTTTTAAAAGAGATTTCTTTTTGATTCAATGATATTGATTTTATTAAGCCTGAAAATATACGCAGTAGAAATAAAAATATGTTAATTGATTCAATTTTTAATAATTAAAAATAATCGCATTTTATGTTTTGTTTTCTATTTGTAACAAACAGAATTTAAATTGAATTGAAAAAAAAAACCTTTCTGAGGCATAAAATCTCTCCGGTTCATGAGTTGATGTGTCGATAGGTAAGGTCCAGGTGTGGGAGCGGCCTTCCTGGCGTCGGGAGCATTGGTACTCATTACTGAAAATAAGATCGACGGAAAAAATCAAGGAAAAAAAGAAAAACTGTTTATATTTTGCAACTGAAGCATACTTACTTACGTCTAGAGCTGAATCAAACGAGATTTTTTTTATTATTGTTTACATTTTTGTCCGGGTGAAAACGACGGAATGGTTGGTAGTTATTTCTGCATACATGGCCCGGGGAATAGACACAACAAATAAATGTTAAACTAAAACTAACTATTGTTGGCTTAATAAAAGAATATTGTTATTTTTACAATAGTTGCAGTTGAAGAGTGGCTTATTAAAACAAAAAGAATCTTATTTTGAATTAATTTGAATAAATATTATCGAAACAATAAAATGCAATATCATTTCAACCGGAATTGTTTGTTTAAATACAAATAAAGTTTTTTTTTGGTTCAATGCAAACAATTTTCTCGCCGTGTACCACTACACCACCGGCGCTGCTAGCATTTTGTGGCAGTGTTCATTATATAATATTTAATTTTACAATTTATTATCTTTCTAGGACGAGCCTTTAAACACATTTGTCAATCTTGGCGAATGCAAGGAGCTAGAAAAATATTCCACAAAAAATCTTCATGACCACTGTTCCTACAAAGCAGTCAACGGGCGAGGCGAAATTGTGGGAGTGAATATCAACGGATTGATCAACAAACCGGTAATGTCATTTTTGTTGTTTTGTTTTTATATTTACATTCTTAGATTTTTTATTTTAAATTTCAGAGAGAGACTGATGATGCTTCAGAAAAACTGGCTGATGGTTGTGATCATCCCAAGTTTAAGAAAATAATGGCCCTTATGGACTATGTTGACGAACATTTCAATATTTTCGATTTGTATCCCGACGTTGACCGTTTGCTGGATATTAAAATTATGTCGGTGGATAGCCATTATCGTGGCTTGGGAATAGCTGGAAAGCTCACAGATCGTACTATGCAGTACGTTAAGGAGAACAATATTAAATTAGTGCACGTTTTATGCAGTAGCCATTTCTCAGCACGTGTGATGGAAAAGATGAGCTTTGAAGAGGTCTACAGACTACCTTACAGCGATTACTTGGTTAATGGAGAACAAGTGTTCAATCCAGAGCAGCCTCATAATGCAGTTCGTATTTTAACAAAAAGACTGGCCTAAAATAGCCGCAAAAAGTAACTATTATAAAGCAGCAATATGACTTCGAAACC